TCAGGACACAACTAGACTACTGCTGACCTATAGGGTTACTAGCTGCCCAATCTTAACATTTCAGTCTCTTCGTCCTTTGGATGATGATTTATTTTCCAACTTGCAACTCCTTTCCACGCAGATCAAACGTCGCAAACCTCTCGCTGGACGATCGCTAGTCCCATGGAAAGTGTTCAGACGAACTACATTCTTTAGTGTCACCAGTTTTAACCCTCATGGCTAAGAGCCGTTATGTCACGCACATTGTAACGAACCACCTTCATTCCTTTCGCATTCCAATTGGTGAAAAGTAAGTTCCACTCGAACAGCCTCTTCCCACGAACCGCTGCTTTGTGGAACCGACTCCCATGCTTCACTGTAATCTTAACCTCTTCAAATCTAGAGTTAACTATTATCTTCCACACATATCTCTATAAACTATGCCTCTTAATCTGTAATCGTCTACCTTGAGTGACTCTTGGGCCTTCTACAGAGGTGGACATCATTGTAAAACAAGTAACTCATAAACAAGCTAGTAAGAATAGCGGAGAGAAGGGAATATCAATTTTATTGTTATTATCAAAAGGGGCAGCCCTAGATGCAAGCTACAATTTGGAGACGTCAGAATCACAAAAATGTAATTCTCTGAAAATTGTTACACAAATGACGGAAAAATGTAATACATACACCCAATGGCTAATTGGAATCGCAAAAGTAGCCTTCCAAAAACTAAACAAAGTATTAAGAAACAGGAAATTTTCGTCAGAAACAAAGAAAAAACTGTTGAACTGCGATATAATATTTAACATTCTATATAGCAATGAATGCTGGACAATTCCCTCACCTATGAAGGTAAACCTTTAGAGAACATATGTTGTTTTTACAGAAGGACGCTGAAAATACCTTGGATGGAACATGTGAGCAAGAAGGAAGCTTAAAGAAAAATGAGAACAAAAAATACACTTGTTTTTAGGATAAGAAAGACAGTTAAACTTTCGTTTATTTATAATGAGGAAAGAAAGCTTGGAGAATTTTATACTAACAGGTAAAAGGGACAGAAAGAGACATTGAATAACCTACCAAACGAGCTTTTTTTTTAAAGGGACAGAACAACAGAGCCTGTGATGGATATTAAAGGGTAGAAAACTTGCTTAGAGCTACAATGAACGTTGTGGAGATCCATGATCGCCCACTTCCTGAAGGGTCACGATATATGAAGGAAGATTAAACACGTGAAGCTCGTATATAGGCAACTTTCTTTGAAAATATTTAACTATACACGACAGAATTAATCTTTTTCCGCAATAAAATGATATGATTCTTCAAGACGAAATATAAAATAAATTTGGACAAAGACTAAAGTCAAACAGTACATATAATATAATGACTGTTTGATCCTATGTTTAACAGTCCGTGGCGACTGATAGAGATTCGATGAAAGATTAAGTGAGTCAATATGTAGAGTGCTTTCTAATATTTATTTTTCCATTTGGATTCATTAATTATTATTATTTGACACAATTGATTGGTTTCGGAAACGTACGAAGTTAAGGGCCTGAAATGTCTGATGTTTTATAATTGCTAGTAAAGACATGAAGGACTTCAATGCAACCACTTGTTTCCCACAAATGGGGAAATAAAGTAAATAAATCAATAAACAAAAATTTTCCGAACTCGCAGGTCTAAATAATAAGTCAGGGTTAGAACAATTCAGAAAGAAGTCGTCTGTTGCTCGGTCAATGAATGCCGAATGTTTCCGTATAAGGAAACAATTAATATTACCATTAAAATTACCGCATCGTGTTAGGTGACTGCACAAATATTGAGCCCATTATATCGAAAAGGGGTTTCGTGATTTTATCTCGTTGTGGCGTTATTTTCACCTTCCGTTCCTTTGTTGAACGTGTAGGGGAGGGGAAGTGTTTAGCAGTCATCCCCAATGTTTGAAACCAACATCACCCCCTCAATCGAATGAATGAGTGGAACTGATTTTACCCGCTCCCCTTTTATAGGCAGAAGCACATAAATGCATGCTAGGATTTTTTCCTAGACAATAAAATAGGCAGGTTCGCGGTTTCATCTGATTCAGTCCCGATCTGACTTCTCTTGAAGTCAGAAAGCTACGTTTTTTATCCGAATTTGTTCGTGTGTGTCAACCCCGATTCTTAGTTTGTGAACTTTTTGGCATATTACTGTTAATTTGCCTTATTACTCTTAATTTGCCTTATTACTGTTGTTTTGCCTTATTACTGTTAATTTGCCTTATTACTGTTGTTTTGCCTTATAACTGTTAATTTGCCTTGAATATATTGTTTGCTTGTTTTATATTATTTTTTGGCTCAGTTCTTTTCATTTCTCCTTATTGCTTATTGCAAACATTGTCAATTCTGTTTGTTGGGCAATTCTCTTACTTATTTTGATTTGACCATAGCTACTCACACCACATCCAGTTTTTGTTCACACCAACGCAAACGTAACTGGAAACACCTTCATAGGATCAAGTTGTTTTATCAGAGGAAAGCTTTTGGAAGGTCGTAGTTCATATTTGCATTCATAATTCCGGAATAATGACATTAGAATAAATAATTAAATAAAGAAAAAAGAAATTCTTATAAATCAATGTTACAACTTTTTTCTCATCTATTAAATTTTGTCTCGAAAGATACGCTCTGAGGTTAATTTTAAATACAGACACTTGGAAAAAACATTTGACATTTCGGAGGTAATGTGACGCATTTACATTAATCTTGAATTTAATCTTTAATTACTGTTAATTATCTTTAATTACCTGCAATCACCTTAATTAGCTATTGAGCTGATGTATTTTCTGTGCCGTAACAATATATATATATATATATATATATATATATATATATATATATATATATATATATATGTGTGTGTGTGTGTGTGTGTGTGTGTGTATGTATATATATTCAAATAGAGGGTATCTTTTAAAGAAGCATTATGAATAAAAAAGAAACTATACAAAACACACACACACACACACATATATATATATATATATATATATATATATATATATATAGATTCAAAGTGTATCTTTCAAGGAACAAAATGAATAAAAAGAGATAATAGGAAAAGCTATTCTTAGCCGACGCGTTTCGTCATCGGCGGGACTTTATCAAAGCAATATCGGATTTCTTTTGGGGGCATGTGTTTATATGCAACAGCAAAGATGTCACTGATTTATTACGGCTTTTACATTTCAAAACGTCCACGTATATTCGTCAGGTTGTTGAAAGGTCACTCAAAACATGTGGAGGGTACAAAGTACCACAATATATATATATATATATATATATATATATATATAAAGTGAACACTGAATTCAATACACAGAGGCGACAGGCTGTTTCATGCTAGACGCAGTCGTCAGGCCGCTATGATATTGAGCGCTTTATCCCATAAATATAGCACACTTTAACACTATATTTCTATATATATATATATGTGTGTGTGTGTGTGTGTGCGAGAGAGAGAGAGAGAATAATGACAGAATGAAAACTTATGTCAGCCGTCGCGTTCGTACTGCCACAGACTATATCACGTCAAATGTGATGATTTCATTTTGCAAAAAGTACTTACGAATAAAAGTAAAAATATTAGTTTTTCAGAATTTTTAAATTCAATTAACGCTCATAAATATTTCTCAGGTTAACTTAAAAGTCTGGGTAAATTATGGAAGATGCTAAGTGTCATAATTTAATATATAATAAACGAGTGTGAGTAAATTATGTTGAATATTTCTATGCAATTAATATTTAAATTGTTTTAGATTCGGATAAATTTATGGATTATATTTTTTTAATAACAGTAGGTGATTAATTTAACTGTTTTCGTTTAATTTTTTGAATTTTTAGCATTTTTCTAATGAAGATATTTGAAAAAAATCCGGGACGCATATTTATATTTTGATAAGATTCAATAGCAGCACTCTCAAGAATTTTCCTTCTAAGTTACTTTCTCTTTTAATAAGTGTGACATTCTTTAGATCAAAGTTGTGGTTGAACTTTCTTTCTATATATAACTAATGTATTTGATAAATTGTTGTGTATAAGATCCTTTTTGTGTTCATAGATCCATTTTGTTTAAATTGTTGCAAGTTTCCCCAATGTATTGTGAGGAGCAGTTCTGACAGTTTATTTTATATATAGCTGTTTCAGAATTATTATTGTTGGTTCTGATACTATCCATAATAGTTTTGGTTGTGGTTGTGATCATTTTGATATTGTTAAGATTCGATAAATTGTTTTGGAGACTAGAGTTAGTAGGTAGTATTCTATATCTGTTTTTATCTAGTTTATCATTATTTTTATTTTTGTTAATAATTTTATTATATTTTTAACGGTTATATATTTTATATGCCATGCTCTTAGCATTGCGGATGAAATAATGAGGATATTGGAGGATTTTTAAAAGTCTTTTCTATATATGTTTCTTGATATTGGAGGCTTCAGATTCTTAGTGCTTTTAAATAGAATCCTATAATTATTCCAGATTTTATCCTGTTACAGTGGTGGGAATAAAAATTGATATGGTCATTCTTGTTGGTAGATTTTCTGTAAATCTCCAAATGAAGGTCGTTATTAGTTCTATATATCATGATATAAAATACTGGCGTATATATATATATATCTATATATGCATATGTACACTGATGACTTTATAGAGAAATATATGAGGGACAAATTAACCGCAATAACATTAGATTTGCAAATATGGATTTGTGAAGATTGTTAGAGATTTTGTGTCGAGAGACATCGCTTTGTGTCTATAGAAACCATTGTTCAGACATTCCTTTACAGATGCTGAAATGTCAAATTAAAGCTGTTTATATGTCAGAAGATTTCAAAGCGAGAAAAAACTCTGACAGAATGTTCAATGTTATAAAGATGGATTAGTCTGAAATGACTTATCAGTAAAGTAGCTAAACTTCGAGAATAACGATTCGAATAACGAACGACAACATCTGTTATGGAAAATTTTTCAGACGGGGTTTACGGCCACGTCACGTTGAAACTGCCGATTGCCGTACGATCACCAAAGTTAAGCACCGTCGATCCAGGTCAGTACCTAGATGGGTGAGTGCTTGGGAATACCAGGTGCTGTAAACTTGGATTTTGCCGGTGGTATGATGTCTAATGACTCGGAATTGTTAATCGGCGAGACGAGTTCCAATTCCGGTTAGGTTCTTTACATACGCACAAATACCATTGCGAAAGTTACCGTTTATAATCGCGGATAGGTCGCACTTTTTTTACTAAAAATATAACAATATATTAGGGGTGCGACCTATCCGTTCGACATAAATGTAAAACAACACTACCTTGTCATCATGATTTCTGAGAAATCAGAACTGATACTCAGAAATACTAAATTTATCTATCATATATACTGACTCACTGCTTTTAATTTACCTCATGCTGCTTGATTCACATATCCATCGCAATAAATAAATAAAATTATCAAATATTCATTGATCCATCAGTCACCGTTCGGTCGGGGGTCTTGCACTAGACTGATATAGAAACCCTGAACATGCATACATAAGTTAAGGAAGTATGTGTAGATGTTTATTGACAAAGAAAAAATAGTCCCACGATTCATTCTACAATATAATATATATATATATATATATATATATATATATATATATATATATGAATGACAACAGGAAAACTGTAGTAGATGCTGACGCGTTTCGTCCAATGTGGACTTTCTCAAAGCCCAAAAAAATTCGTCAATACAGCGATTTTTTTTTTTGCTTTGAGAAAATATATAATTGACGAAAGTAAGCTAACTTACTACAGTTTTTCTATTATCATTATATTTAAAAAATATTGTCTTTTCTACAAGTTAACTTTGAGAAATTTTCATATATATATATATATATATATATTGTCAAATGAAATGGACAATGATGAAAACGTATTAACTGGTGAATAAATGAGAATGATGTTTGACAGCGACGATAGTGAAGAAGAATTCTTAGGATTTTACTGAATTAATTTTAAAAGTGTAACGTGATATATAAATAGATAAACACATTTTTCTAAATGTACTGTAACATTTTCTTCTGCAGTTCCTTTTTTATCTCGTTGACTCGATATAAAAATAATATACGGTAAATCTAAAAATACCTATACACTATTTACTTCCTTTTTATCTTTTACATGATGATTGAAGAAATGTATTTTAACTGCAAAAGTGTATTAATAATTGTAAGTTTTTGAAATAAAGGTATAAATAAAGGTAGACATCTGACAATTCTTCCTTTTAAAAAGGTCTGTGTAACTCCCCAGATTATAGTGCGACCTATCTGCGATACAACAGTAAATCATCAGTTATTAAGCCATAAACTAGGAATGCAACCTATCCGGTGGGGCGACCTATGCGTTGGGGCGACCTACCCGGATGGAGACCTATGCGTTAGGGCGACCTACCCGTGGGGAGATCTATGCGTTGGGGCGACCTATCCGGTAGGGAGACCTATGGGTTGGGGGCGACCTACCCGTGGGGAGACCTATGCGTTAGGGCGACCTATCCGGTGGGGGCGACCTATGCGTGGGTGCGACCTATCCAGTGGGGGCGACCTATGCGTTGGGGTGACCTATCCGGTCGGGCGACCTATGCGTTGGGGCCGACTTATCCGGTGGAGAGACCTATGAGTTGGTGGCGACCTATCCGGTGGGGTGACCTATGCGTTGGGGCGACCTATCCGGTGGGGCGACCTATGCGATGGGGCGACCTTTCCGGTGGGGCGACCTATCCACGAGTATAAATGGCATCAATCCACCCCTTCTACCCTCAGCTATGGGTTAATTAGTAAGACCTGTATTACTAAACCATTACTGACTCAAAAAGATTCTTACAATCTAAATGTATTTTCGGTAAAGGGTTGATAAATCACAGAAAATAACTTAAACAATCCGTCAAGTTTTGAAATAGTAGCCACATTGGATGCGAATTACAAGTTGGAGATACCAAAATTAAACATGTACAAATATTTAAATATCTAGGAAGTTTTTTTTTTAATAGAGGACGGAAAATATGACACCGAAATCCCAAGGTGCATTGGGATAGCAAAATATTCCTTTAAAAACAATGCAATGTATTAAGAAACAGTTTGTTTACTTAGAGACAAATAAAAGATGACTAAACTGCTATGTAATATTGGTTCTCCTATATGGCAGTGAATGTTCAACAATATCAACGCAGATGTAAAAGAAACTCAAGGTAACAGAAATATGGTTCTACAGAAGGATGCTGAGAATATCATGGATTGAACATGTGAGCAACGACGAAGTTTTAGAGAAAATAGAAACAAAATGGCCACTTATACTTAACATCAGAAAGATAGAGTTGAAATTTCTAGATCACTTAATGAGGAAAGAGGACTTGGAAAATTTGACACTCACAGTTTTTTAATTGTAAAATAAAATTATAAATCATTCGTATGATACGAGAAGGTGGTGAAATGTTATTGTTTCTGTCACTTCCGAAAATCTAGCCATATAATTTTTTTTGTTGTTTTAAAAGCCTGAGAAAATTTGAGACTCACAAGACATATTTAAGACAAGGGTAAAACAGCGCATAATTAACCCAACGAATTCGTGTAAATGATTGCTAGGGTTGAGGAGAGATAGCAAAATGAAAAACCTAAGAGTGATGAAGGACAAGATGTTCAACAACGTCCTAAAAGAAGACAGCACATAAAAAACAAAAGGGGTCATACCGGCGATTCGCAAACAAAAGAGTTATAAGGATTACTGCTCTTTTGTTTCAGGAACTTTCAATGTAAACGACCTCTCATGAAAAAATCAACGTATCCTCAAAAGTAATAAATAACACGCAATGTGTAACGAATTTGATGGATGTCGGCGTGAAATACGAATTCGGTGAGACGAGTTCCAATTCCGGGTTGGTCTCTTGTGTTCAGTTTCGCAAAAATTTCCTCTGTTTTCTCCCAACTGCGAGTTAAATGAGAGCATACATTAATTTCTCTTGAACTTAAAAATCAGTTCCATGCATGATACACGCTTAGGCGATCATGCATCTTTCGATACATGACTGACGAGTCAGATTATTTTCACGAAGTAGGTTGCCATTTCTTTCTGCGGTAGACTTGTTGCCATACAAGCTTATAGAACCGGGTCTGTCCTGCTATTTACCCATAGCTGGAGGGAGAAGAAGAGATTCGCTGGCGACCTGAGAAAAGGACGGAAATAAATTCGCGAGCCGATGTGAAATTTCTTTTGGACCAATGAAAACCTTATCTTCACAGAAATCAGTCGAAAGAAAAGTAAATAGCTAGTTTATACTAAATCCTTTTTGATATAAAATGAGGAAAAAATAAATTAACTAGAGACGTGTGTCTAAAGTCATGTGAAAGGTTTCTTTTCAGTTTCTTGTGACCAGTGACTAGCTTTCATGTTCTTGCCTTGCTAGTGTAAAATTATTCGCCAGTTACATCGGCTTTTAACCAAGCACTCGGCACGCCGAATAACTTTCTTTCAACAGTAAAAGAAAGCTTAATACTTCCAACTATACATCTTAATCTATTTTGAACGCATGCAAACCATATATCACTTCTGTGAACAACGAACACACTTTTGTTTTAAACTTTTTTTTTAATTTTTTTGTCGGTTCATTTAATCTGTTGTATGAATATTTCCTCTTCATGACAATCTTAAAACTACGGACTTTGAAAATGTCTGATTTATTTTCCTTAAACGAGCTTCTGGCACAACTTTAAGTGTGGATATTCATAAATAAATTCCTTTTGCTAAATTTTGCTAAAATTACACGACATTATCATCCTTCATTAACCTTCTTGGCGTAGGTAAATAAACTGTTCATTTTAAACCCCGAAGCCCCACGCCACTATAAGTTAACCGCCTTCGGATCTCAGTTATTGATTTTTTTTTTTTTTTTTGTCTGGATTTAATTCCATAGCCTTTCCCGTTTTTTGGATATGGCCTCAAGCGGATGTTTAAAATCAGCGTTTTCCTTCCTTTGTATGGAATTCTATCCCGAGCTAAAGGTCTCCATTTATTTTAATAACAATAGCATTATCAAAATTAATCATTTCTACTTTGTTACTAACAACTGATTAGCAACATGTTTTACGGAGTTACTTTTACCTTGGATTCGTATTTAGTTTTCCATTAAGATAGAATGTAGATAGCTCAAAGGAAAAATGAAACTTTCCGAATGAAAATAAGGTGTATAAACACAGCCATCTGCAGTCAGCTCTCAGCACAGGTGGACGGTCCGTTTCTATAGAGCTTTAGAAATTTGTTAGTGCCTCAGCCAACTGTCAGATTGGTGACCAGTAAAGCAAAATCTTTGTACATTTCAGAAAGAAAGAAGGCGGTTATTCGTGAAGGCATTTCCTGTGAAAATGGCACAAAGTCGTGTCTCAGAGCGAAAGGCGGGTTAGATATGAGCAGGTGGAAATAATTTTTTAATGAAATGAAGACGAACAGAATGAGAGTTGATAGAAAAATGAGCAAGAACTTTCTTCTCTAGGTTTGTCTCCCTCGCTCTCTCACTATTTCTCTTTATCTATCTCTCTTTCTCTCTCTAAATAACTCTCTCTCTCTCTCTCTCTCTCTGTTTATATATATATATATATATATATATATATATATTTGTATATTTAGGCAGCAATCCTTCCTTTATGCATGTTTCATTAAAAACGACAGACAAGGTACTACGGTTGAGCTTTTTATTTAATTTTTCTTGTGTTCTGACAAGAGCTTTCTTTTCTGGACAAAGAGTGTGTAAGAACTGTCCGAATGTTCTGTATTTCCGAGGAGTAGTATATTTCTTTATAATATGTCTTATTATAATAAGACATATTATAAAGAAATATACTACTCTATTGATCTAATAAAAAAATCAAACTTATTATCTATTATAAAAAAATTTAAGACGGCCAACCTTATCCTCAAAAATAACAACACACCAACTAAGTCAAAATTACAAAGAACAAACATTATCTATGAGTTCAAATGCCCTTTAAGGAACTGCGTTCCTCACCAAACCGGACTCATAAATAATTACATCGGCTACACAACCACATGTTTATCCAGACGTCTTACATTAC